CAGCACTCCCCCCCCCCTCCCTTATTGAATGACAGACTTGGAATCATTTCTTTAAAAAACCAACGATTTTGAGATGGTGCAGTGCATGATGCTGGCTGGGATGCCTCGCTGCGGACATTCATGAGACTTGTGCTTTCTGCTAACAAAAATAATCACAGTCATAAATATGCACAGCCACAAAGCACAAGGGCTGTGAATACCAATGAGAATCTACTGGTTTTTGTCACATAAATGTTCACGAAAGCTTTTTGCAGTATTTGCCAGGTTTTAACAACGACACCACCATCAGCACCACCACCACCATAACCTTCTCTTCTGAACTATGCAAGTTAAATGTTATGTTTCATCAATTAACCACTTAAGCAGGGGCAAGTGGGTCGCCCAGCCAGGCAGCAGCAGCCCTCCGCGGTGAGTGGGAGCTGCTTTGGCCAGGCCAGGCCCACTGCCCCACATTGTGGGTGAGCGGGGAGCTGTTCCAGTCCAGCCGGACCATCAATTATCCAGTTAACTGGTTAACCACTCACATCCCTACTCATAACTACTAGGCTACGTCAAGACTGGCATGATTTTCCACAAATGCTTTTAACGGAAAAGTTTTCCGTTAAAAGCATTTTCAGAAAAGCGTGTCTAGATTGGCACGGACGCTATTCCGCAAAAGCACTTTTTGCGGAAAAGCGTGCATGCCAACCTAGACGCACTTTTCCGCAAAAAAGCCCCGATCACCATTTTCGCGATTGGGGCTTTTTTGCGCAAAACAAATCTGAGCTGTCTACACTGGCCCTTTTGCGCAAAAGGACTTTTGCCCGAACGGGAGCAGCATAGTATTTCCGCAAGAAGCACTGATTTCCATAAAACATTAGGGCTGTGTCTAGACTAGCAAGTTTTTCCGCAAAAGCAGCTGCTTTTGCGGAAAAACTTGCTAGTCTAGACACAGCCCTAATGTTTTATGGGCAAAGCTAGAAAGAGTCTCTCTCGAAAAAGAGTCTCAGGACACTGGTTGGGCCAGGTTTGTTGTGCATTGGGTTGGACTCACATTCTTCATTTCAGATCATCTTTTTGTATAGGGACAATTGAAATGAAAAATGAGCTCAGTATTTTACTGCTAAAGTATACTTTGTGAAAAATCATTCCTTTCTAAAAATAGGAGTTGACCAGTTCAACTCTTTTCGGTTCTTCAGTAATCTGCTTACATGTCCTCTCCCTCAAGGAATTAAAGAGGTGCAGCCCCATGGACCCTACAGATGCCAGGTGCTGAAGCCATCCTACCCTGATAGTGAGGATGCCATTGGATGATTACGGATACCATTCCACCAATCACAAATGAGAGTTAGAAACGTGCAGCTAAAATGTCTGGAGGCAAGAACCTAGCCACTGGTGTTATCCTGTTGGTCAAGAGTCCCAGTGTCAGACGGGGAGGGCAGCTGGGTGCTGACTGCTCGCTAGAACACATACATACCTGCAGAGGGTGGTCCAATGAGCACAGCACAGGCTTCGATGAGTAGGACTAGCCCAATGGCACTGGAGAACTTCTGGGATCCAACAATGGCCATGAGCACCTCAAACTGCAGTGCGCCTACCATGCCGTAGGAGATGCCAAAGAAGATACAGAAGATGACCAGGGCCGTGTAATTGTTAGCCCTGGCACTGAAGATGTCTGTCAGGCCATTGAAGAGCATAGCAAAGCTGAATAAGTAGGCTATATGGGGACGCATCCACTTTGTCCCAGCCAGCATTCCACATGATGGGCGGGCAAAGATGTCGATGAAGCCAATGATGGACAGCAGGAAGGCAGCTTCTGTGTCTGGCACGCCTATGTCTTTGGCATAGTTGACCAGCAAAATAGGAGGCACAAAGAGGCCCAGGACCAGGATGAACTTAGCAATGGAGTAAATGACAAACCCCCGGTTGGAAAAGATAGAAAAATCCAAGAGCTTCTTCCCTTTCCGGGGCTGCTTCTTTTTGGTTTTCTTTGACTTGGCTCCATCAGTGGTGCTTATGGCTTCCTCTGCTTTGTCCCCAATGGGCAGCATCTCCTTGGCTTCATATTTGTCCTGAACTCTCTCCATCTTCCGCTTCATGCCAGCCTCGAGGGGTCTCATGACGGCTCCGCAGGTGCAGCAATTGAGCAGCAACCCTCCCATGATGAGGAACCCTCCTCGCCAGCCAAACTTCTCCAGCAAGACCTGCCCCAGTGGAGAGAGGGCTGACAGGAAGACAGGGCTCCCAGCTGCAGCAAGCCCATTGGCCAGAGGTCGACGTTTGTCAAAGTAGGTGCCCAGCATGATCAGGGAGGGCTGGAAGTTCAGAGCCATACCGAGGCCTGTGTGCAGGGAGGAGACGGAGAGAGTAATGGGTGAGACACCAATGGGGACAATGCGCAACAAAGACAAACCTCTCGGACGCTGTGTGCACACACCTCGCCCAAAGACCCAGTCGCGTGGTTCACTTCCTCTTCCCAAGTCCTCTCACACATGATGTACTGTATGGCACACACAGGCAGAGGTAGGACTGGGGGCCAGAGAGCTTATATTGTCCTGGGACCTGCCTACTGTCAGCCACCTTTGGCTACCCAGTTCTCACGGGTGGGCCTTACCTTGAGTGCCTGGCTGAGGACTTCTCCACCATCACTTCACTTGTGCTATTATCCTTTAAACTCTTTGTCAGTCCCACTGTGATTCTCCCCCTACGCCCACCTCAGGCTGTTCCCTTGTCAGACTGCATCCAGAGGAGAAAATGCTAATGGACCAGCGGGTTGTTTTCTATTACGTGGGGTCTTCTTCCTGGTGTGTGTCTCATCCCACACTACCCCTCGGTGTCTCAGTGGTTTCCCTCCCACCCCACTTTCTTCTTCCTGGTGTGTCTCTCATCCCACACGCCCCCTCGGTGTCTCAGTGGTTTCCCTCCCACCCCACTATGACTTTGCTTGTGTGTGAAGAAGGCTGTGTGAAGTTCCCTTTCTAGTGCATCCAATCTTGCTAACTCACTTGATGCACCAAACTTGAGGGGTTTCTCCCGCCAGCCCCTGAGTGCTGAGCTGGTCGTGTGCACAACGCTCTCAGCCTTTGTCAGCCAGAGAACTGGGGTCCTGGACACTGGGGTTCCTGGGCCAGCTCTGATTCCATCTATGCACCTCCAGTTGGAGGCAGGAAGGAGTCCACAGCTCAGCCTCCTCCTCTTGCCCTCCTCCAGCCTCAAGTGCCATCGCCACAAAATGTCACCTCAGCTCCCTGAGCACATGCCCAGTAAGGAGAAAACACTCTGGTCCTCCGGAGGGGAAACAAATCACACCATGAAGCTGTGCATTTCTCGCTCAGTCTCCACTATAAACAAACCACACCACGAAGCTGTGCATTTCTCGCTCAGTCTCCACTTCTCTTCCCTATGGCTTACAACCCTTCCATGGACCTAGACCCCTTTATTTCTCCATCAGTCCCACAACTCCTGTCTCTCCCTCCTATTCCTTGTCTCCCTCAACTCTGGAAGCAGTGTGCCTGCCTGAACTCATGTGTCTTGCTCACACAGATCCAGTGAAAGCACAGACAGGGCCTCTCCATCACCCTTTCTCTCTCTGCCCTCACATAGTCAAACATCTCCAGTCATGCTGGTTAGACATCATCTGTGTCCCTTCTGTCTCATCCTCTCACCCCTATGCTCAAGCTCACTGGATATGACAGGTGCAGCACCCCCCACACCCGCAGTAGGGCTCTCACCTGTCAACATGCCAGCCGTCAGGTACAGCTCAATAATGTTGGTGGTGAAAGAGGCTAGGATCATACCAGCAGATGCCAGGAGTCCTCCGACAAGCATCACAGGCCGGCACCCAAATTGGTTCACCATGATGCTGCTCACAGGCCCTGAATAGAAGCAGATCAGGCAGAGGAAACAAGGAGTTACAACAGCCAGGACAGAGAGAGCGACTTCTCCACTCCCTCCCTCCCCATCAGCCCCAGTTCCACACTGCCCCAAGGGAAACCTGGGTCCGATTCCCTCTTTCCTCAGCAAGAAGAGTCTCCGTGAGTGTAACATGGGGACAGCTACACTCTGCTTCAGAAAGGGGTGCAAAAGGGATGAGCCTTCCCCTCTCTCCCCCGCTTGCCCCGTGGAGACCAAGAAAGAGAACTGAGGAGCAAGTATTGATCTCCAGGGTACCAGTGGAGACACAGGGGATACCTGAGGTGTATGGGCAAAAACCAGCAATGCAGCATGTTCATCCCGCTTCTGGGAGGGGTGCTGGGGACAGAGGTTTCCTGCCCCTTCTCCCATTCGATTTGCATGGAGAGGAGGGCTGGGAAGCATAAAGAGAAGACTAAAGGCCCAAAGGAGAAGGCAGCTCTGTGCCATGCATGTGTTGGAGTGTGGGAGGGCTGAGGCAGGGGCTAGAGGAGGGCTGGAAGGGGGTTGGGACTCATGCGGCCATGCTCACCGGTACCATACAGCATGGCCAGCATGATGGACGAGATCCAGGCTGTGTCGCTGTAGCCCACATGGAAGTCACGCATCAGCTCCTTGAAGTAGACACTCACTGCCTTAGGGAAGGCATAGGAGAAGCCGGTGATCACAAAGCAGCCCAGCAGCACTATCCAGCCCCAGCCACCATCTGGGGGCTTCACCGAAGCTGGCGGCAGGATCTCCTCTGGGTCAGACCTCCCCATTTCCTAAATTGGGGGAGGGGCCCAATGCCAAGCAGGGACCGGGACCAGGGGGAGAGCGAGCTGCAGGAAGAGAACACACGGGGCACATGTATCACATGGCATCACCATCCTTCCCCCCAGAATTCCACCACTACCTGCTGACGTGGCCAGGTTCCCTTGTGCCAGTATCTGCTCCCACCTCCGCTCACCTCTGTCCCCTTGGAGCTGCAGTGAGGGCTAGTGGCTAGGGCACAAGAGGAGGAGACCTGGGCTCTAGTCCCAGCTCTTTGCCACTGACCTGCAAGGAGACTTTGGGCAAGTCACGTCACCTCGCTGGGCCCGGTTCCCCTCTCACGTTTCATCTGCCGGCTCTAGTTAGCCTGGAGGCTCTTCAAGGACTCCCTCTCCGGCGGAGTTTGCACACTGCTTAGCCCAGCAGGGCTCTGGTTTGGGCTGGGGCCTCTAGCTGCTCCCCTACTGGACACTTTATATAACACCACTCGCTCTCCCCCAAGCATGCTGCAGGCAGCCCGCCCCCCTCTCCGCCACACACCCCTACTTTCTAGTGCAAGCTGGAGCTGTAGGGTATTTGCGTGCCAGAGAGATTAGGGCTCCGTACTCATATGGCAGGGCCAGAACAAAGGCAGGGGGCTGGGGGGGGGAGTGTCTTGTGAATTTCTGTCGGGAGCCTTAAGCTGGCCAAGAATGTTGCTCCAATTGGCCAATCTAGGTTTGTTTTTCCTCACTTCTGCAGCCTGTGCCAAGGCACCCGTCAGGCCCTTCCCAATGCTGAACGTGGTGGACCCCGTGAGCGCAAAGCATCAGCATGGAGAGGACATAGCCTCTCTCTTTGCCACATAGCTTCCCCCTGTTGCTGGAGGAACACGCTCTATGCTTTGGCTATAAGTAAGGCCCTACCAAATTTGTGGTCTGTTTTGGTCAATTTCACAGACTTAGGATTTTAAAAATAATACATTTCATTATTTCAGCTATTTAAATCTAAAGATGCACCGTGAAGTAATTGTAGGAGTCCTGACCCCGAAAGTTGTAGTGTGGAGGTTGAAAGTTGTAGTGTGCTAAGAAGCTGGAGAGCAGCAGCTGCTGGCTAGGAGCTCAGCTCAGAAGGCAAAGCCGCTGCCGCAGAACAAAGGATGGCATGGGATGGTATTGCCACGCTTACTTCTGTGCTGCAGCATTCAGAGCTGGGTCCTCAGTCAGCAGCTGCCACTGTCCAGCCACCCTGGCTCTGTATCTGTATCTACTAGCCCAGGTAGAAGCAGGGCTAGTGAGTGACCCCAGGTGCCTTCAGTCAGCTGCCCACACTGTCCAGCTGTCATGCTCTGATGGCAGCAGTAAGGGTGGCATGACATGGTATTATTCTCTGGCTGCCCAGCTTTGAAATCAGCATAGAGGTAAGGGTGGCAATACCGTGACTCACCCCCTAAAATAATTGCATGATTCCCCCCCCACACACAACTCCCTTTTGAGTCAGGAGCTGTGTTCCCTCTAATTTTTCCATCCCTGAGAGGAATGAATTTTCTTACGTGCACCGTGGATGTGATGTGCGACGCGCTATCTTCATATTGGTGCACATAACAAAATGAATGTGGTGGGAGTGGGGCCAAGGGGTTCTGAGTGTGTGAAAGAGCTCAGGGCTGGGGCAGAGGATTGGGAAGAAGGAGTGTGAGGACTCCAGCTAGAGGGGCAAGCTCTAGGATTGGTCTGGGACTGTGGGTTTCAAGCTGGGACAGCGGGTTGGGTGTTTAAGGGCTCTGGCTGAGGGTGAAGGCACTGAGGTGGGGCTGGAGTTAAGGGGTTTGGGTGCAGGAGGGGGTGCTAGGTTTGGGGAGGGGGCTTGGGATTGGGGTGTATGAGGGGGCAGCTAGCACCTCAATTCACGTGCCCTTGCTTTACGCGCATGACACTTTAGTACTGTCGGTAGGAAAATACCTATGCGGATGGGAACCAGGGGAATCTGACAGTCCCGTGCCTGGGCAGTGGTAAACAAAGCCTCGCGTGGGCCACACATAGAGCCCTGATGGGCCGCAGGTTGCCCACCACTAATCTAGACCAATGGTTCCCAACCTTCTTGATCATACGGACCCCTTTTCAATCTATTAACATTTTACTGACCCTCCCCAAACGATAGAGCTGTGCCTGCAGCCCTGCACATCCCTCGGCCCACGCTGCTTCCTGAGCCGTGTCCCTCAGCCCTCTGGGGAAGCAATGCGGTGGAAGGATGTGCTGGCTGCGAGAGGCTCAGCGTGGACCCCCTACAGAACCACTGGGTTGGGAACCACTGATCTAGACTATCCTGCCAAAATGAAGCAAATCAGAGCCTTACAACCACATATCCCTGACTCAGTGCAAAGGAATGAGGGACAGCAGCAGGAACTGGCTGGTAGAAACCCATTTCCACGCTAGGTATTCACCGTCTGGGTTTACAGTAAACCCAGTTTCTGCAGCCAGCTACCAACAGTGCTAAGCTTTCACAGCTTCAAATGATAATTTCAAACGGCTGCACCATGGCAGGTTGGTTTAGTGATACCCCACTCTCCACGCCTCCCAAAAAGCCCTCTAGCGTACTGGTAAGCAAGTTACTATTGCACTAAAGCAGGTGTGCTTTCCTGGGACAAAGATACCCCAGATCAGTCTTGGATAAGGACCACTGGCACCAGATAAGGTATACAGGTGGCTGATCTGATCCTTGCTATGTGGGTTGTATGCACTGACGTACACTGTGTCTGGTCCTTGCACACCACCGCTCACTACTATTTTCTCCAGTGCTGGAGAGGTTTGCCTGGCTGTTAAGAAACAATCCCAGTGAACAGACACTACTGTAGAAGGATGGTTGGCAGAGACTCCTCCCGAAAGCTAACACCCAGCACAGCACACATGGATCCTCAGGTTTCTCCGTAGCACCTGTCACCTTTGCAGCTCAGTGCTGACACCTCAATTACACCAAGGTGAGATTCGCCACCAGTGTCAGGGAACCAACGTGCCCAGGCAGCGCACTAATGATGAGAATCGCACCCTCAGTCTCTGAGTGCAGAGTGGGCAACACCCCAAGGGTTAGCACTGCGAATCATCCTCCGTGCACAGCAGGATCTCCCCACTAGGGAGCGGTCACACACCCAGCCTCTGATCAGAATGGGATCCGCAGCTCGGGCACGCTGGCACCAGGAGTCAATAGGAGCCACACACTAGAGCCAGCATTTTCCTCTAGAGTCCCTACGCCAGGACTTAACCCTCACCACCTTCAAGAGCAGTGGATCCACATCACAGAGGGAGAGAGGGTGCGTGGAGACAGCATCCAGAAGAGAATGAAATTAACTTGCCCAGGCACAGGCGAACCTATTAACAAGCTATGCCCCAAGACCAGCATTAGTCTGAGTGACAACCCGGAGAACATCCCACACACACCACTAACCTGCCAGACGAATCACTGTGCAAAGTGCATCTGGATACAAACCTTGCAGGATGGTCGGTAGCGGCCTGTTCGCCCTTTGATTTCCAGGGGCCGGTCTGCGTGGCACTTCTTGGCACCTGGAGGGGTGTGTTAACTTAGATGGTGTCTTTTGGGGTTAGCTCCATGGCAGATGCCGGCTTCCTTGTCCTGGAGAGCAACGTCGCCCCTTCAGCTTGGATTGCGGAAAATCCTGCCCTGCTTCCTGACTTCTCCTGAACCACTGGCTGCCGGTGGGGTCAGGCAGTGCTCTCCAGCTGCTGCAAAGACACCCCCCCAAGTCCTCACCCCTGGGAGCCCATGGGTGCAGTGCAGCTTGCAGCCTAAGCCTCAAGGTGTTTACACAGTGGATGTGGGTCAGCAGCTGCTTATGTTTTAAAGTTGGCAAAGCATCAGAGGTGCTGATCTAGCAGAAACCACCTCTCCATTTTTAATAAGCTTTCTCAGCCAATGGGAAGGAGTAGCCTGCATGCCTGGGCCAGAATACCCCAGTAATCCCTCAGATCAGCACAAAGAGGTGGCTGGAAGCCTGCCCAAAGATCCCTTACGGCTTCCCCTCCGCACTTGCCTCTGTAGCAGGGAAGCTCTTAACATTTGTCTCTTGGCTCATCAGGATGGAGCAGCCAAGGCAACAACACCAAGGAGCTTTCCAAAGCTGGAGCGTGAGCACACAATGCTGTTCTGGAGTGGGGGGAGAGGCAAAGGGGGCAGTGGTGAAGTGGGGAGATAGGGTGTGGTGACAGAGCAGGGGATGCAGGGATAGGATGCAGACGGGGGTAGCAGGGACTTGTACAAAGGATGCAGGGCTGGAGGAGATCATTGCAGTGGGGGTGCAGTGGCAGGACACAAATGGAGTGCGGGAGGAGAGCAGTGGGGGTGAAGTGACAGGACAAGGGTGCAGGGCTGGAAGAGAGCATTGCAGTGAGGATGTAGTGACAGGACAAGGGTGCAGTGCTGGACTAGGGAGGTGCTGCAGAGTGACAGGACAAGGGTGCAGTGATAGAGTTGGGCATTGCAGTGGGGGTGCAGTGACAGGACAAGGATGCAGTGCTGGACTAGGGAGGTGCTGCAGTGGAGACAGGCAGGGTACAATGATGGAGCAAAGGAAACAAGAGCCAATGGGTTGTGCAGGGAACTTTCTGAAGCAATGCTCATGGGGTCCTCATATGGTAGTAGCTACATAAACAGCCAAGCGAGGACCATGCAGGCCTTCCTGAACAGCCTCCTTTCAACTTGCCTGGGGTAAGTTTTCCTTTTAAGGAGTGTGCACAATCTCATGAGTTACTCCCTTGCTCTCAAGGCATAAGGACAGCTGGCTGGTGAGAGTTCAGGATGGATTTGCCAGGACTTCCCCTTCCTCTGCAGGCTCCACACACAAGCCAGGTGAATGCAGGGCAGGGTTGGCAGTTTAGGACACTCCACTCTTCTCTCTCCCAGAGCAGGCAGAGCCTCTGCTGGTAGCATGCAGTGTTGCTCTGGGGAGATCCGTATGTTTCGAGAGCCAGGAAGAATGCTACAGGCACCAATAATTTTAAAAAACACAACAGGGGGCATAATTCTGGCAGCTGATTGGAGGGGTGGTGGGAGTTCCTGAATGGGCAAGAGGGAGGGGTAAGCCAACATAAAATCATCAGAGAGGTAGCTGAGTTAGTCTGTAACAGGAAAAACTTAAAAAACAACAAATAGTCTAGTAACACCAGTAGTCTGGTCATCTGAAGAGGGCTGTGCCCATGAAAGCTCATGATACCATCTACATGTTTTGTTAGTCTTTAAGGTGCTACCAGACTATTTGTTGTATTTTAAGTTTTTCACGATAAAACCAGGCATCTGTTTTCTACCTGAAATCAGCACTGAGACCAGCAAGACTCATTCCAGGTGTGGCCAGAAGATTTAAGATACACACCCCCGGGTCCCTAGAAGTGAAAGGCCTGAGATTTAATCCACTAAAGCTTCTTAGCTTCCTCCCCCTCCCTCCAGCTACCAGACTATTTGTTGTATTTTAAGTTTTTCACGATAAAACCAGGCATCTGTTTTCTACCTGAAATCAGCACTGAGACCAGCAAGACTCATTCCAGGTGTGGCCAGAAGATTTAAGATACACACCCCCGGGTCCCTAGAAGTGAAAGGCCTGAGATTTAATCCACTAAAGCTTCTTAGCTTCCTCCCCCTCCCTCCATCTC